CTGAGAATTCTTCTCTGAAAATCAGTATACGTCATGTCCACAAAGGCATCTGTCTGATTATCGCAAAGAACTTTAAGTGTGAAAATTTGAGATTTGAAAAAAAAAAAAAGGAATCTTAGAGGTATATCAAAAAAAAAAAATTGAACAATTTATTTTACAGCACCAAAGTGTAAAAAAAGTTCAATAAGGTGCGAGGTCAATTTTTCATCGTTGATTGACTTAGCCTTTTAGTGTCTATCAAAGTATTTATAACAAGGTGATCTAACTGTAAGTTACAGACTTAATCATCGATTATATAACTTTTATTACTAATTTGCAAAACTTAAAATATGCTTTTTTGAGTACGGGGTGGTAAAAAAAAAAGAAATATAAGCAAATTACACGTTTTTTTCCTGTAAAGATGTAGTAATTTTTATCGTATTTCTCAATGACTGTACCATCTGTAGATACAGAAAACATTTTCAAATAAATGGAAGGCACACAGAACAACAGTTTACAGGAAGACATATGTAACTGGAAAAACTTTTTTTTGTTGTGAATAAAGATCTGGAAAAAAATTTCAAAAGTAGGATTTATTCCTGTAGAGTAAACCTCGGTTAATATTGAAGCGCTTGATTTAGAAGCTTCTGTAAGTAGGATAGGTTTAATAAAAGGTTGTAATATCAGACCGCTTCTATAACAAAAATATTAAAAATCAGAAGTTTGCAAAACAGTAAAGCACATTTCTATAACATTGATAGAGGTGTAAAGATAACTGTAAAGCATTGATAATCTTCCGATTAAAAGGCACTTCAGAAGTCGTTTTCATAATCGCAGTAAGTGTAACGAGTTAACAATAGAGTAAGAATAGTTTTCAAAACCGTTCACATTTTTTTAATTTGCTATATTAGTTCTATAAAGCTTTTAAATATGGTCAAATATTCAGTGCTATCAATTAGATAATCAAGACAAAAAAAGTTGTTTAAAAAAAATAAAATTTGAAAAAATTAAAATTTGAATTATAGAAAAAAAATAGTGCAGTTTAGGGTACAACAGAAACCATGGTGGTGCCAAAGACTGTCAAATTGACTGAATATATTATTTCAATTAAAAAAAAATTTCAATAAAAAAGTGGTAATAATACAAAGATACAATTTGTTGGAAGCTTTCAAACTTATTGCTATTAAAGATTTTCAGAAGTCACTGAATCACAGTGTGTAATACGGCTGTTATCGGTTACATAAATCAATTGTCACCTGATTATTTTTCAAATAACGTTGCCGTTGAGGAATTATTATCCTAATACTTTGGCTATTCAATAGAGAAACTTTCTGGAATAGAATTCTTAGAGTTGTTGCATAGTTTAGAGGTATTAATTTGACTAAAACGACAACTGCTTCTTGTTGTTGTTGTTGTTGTTGTTGTTGCTTCTTTGGCACTTAAGTAACTGAGCTTTAACTGCACTGACTAAGATGACGTAATAACATTCAATCAACTTTTCAGCCTTAGTTATTTGTTGTCTGTAAGTTTTGAAGAACTGTGAATTTTTTTCTGTTGTTTTATACATAGATGTGTTTTTTATTCGATATTTGCTTTTTATACTTAT